ACGAGGTAGATGTGGTTCGGTAACATGTCCAGCAGAATTCCACGCTATCCACCGCACTTCCTCTTCCCTCACTCGCCCTGCTCCGATGACAAGACTTTGTCAAGATGACACGAGGTGGACGTGGGGACGGTGACTGAAAAAAGTAAACCAACCGTCTCCGCTTACCACGCACGATCTTGTTCCCACAGCATGTGTCGGACTCCTGGAAGGATGGCTCGGACTTCACGTTAGGGAGCGTGCCATGAAGACTATTGCAAGAGGGAGTCGCTGCAGCCTGACTCTCAGTCCTGAGAGGCGCCGGTTTATCACGAATTCGGCCACAAATCCTAGCGCGCCTTGGTGAGCCCAAGTGGACCGGATTTACTATAGGGGGGAATGCGTTGATTTGTTATGCGGATGGATCTTCTTGTGGCTCCCTCTCTCTCTTCCCTTTCCCATGCCGAAGTCTGTCCAGTGACTGCTGATGAGACTGGATGCGGCGCAAAGGCGTGTCGTCACATGAATGTATGGCAGTACATACTGACTGGAGTTGGCCCGGCGCAGCCCGATAAACGCGCCATGTGAGCCAGTCTGACTCCCGTTTTGGTTCAGCGCGTCTGTGGCGCAATTTGTTGTGTGAGCACCGAACACTCACTCCACACCCCAAACTTGCCACATAGCAGAAGCGTTAGTCCAACGCAGGGGGTTGATCGGGATCCGACAGACGTTATTGAGAATGCGCGCCCATAACAAATGTCAACACTGTGGGCTGTGGCTGCATACGCAGATGCAGGCTCTCGCCGTGCTAACTGGAATCTCAGCCACCTCCGCCCTTATTTTCTTGGTATGAAATCCTGGCCACCGTACGTCCTGGGCCAGGAGGTGTGTTGGTATGCCTAGGTGCGGGTTATCGCCATGCCAGCCATCTGAGCTCTCTCTCGTCCCCGGTCTTCTCTACTCTATCTGAACAGAGATGGGGAAGGGGGATTGAAACAGGCGCTTCGCAAGTCTACTATTATTATGCAAGAAGTCATTCGGAATCCGCCAATCCTGCCCTCACAGTGTGGACATCGTCGAATACGACGTCCGAACTGTCGGTCCCTCCATGCACAGATTCCAGAAGGACTCAGACTTCATGTAGGTGAGAGTTGACAGCAAAGCCACGTTAATCAGGGACCACTGAAATTAACTTCTACGTGCGAATGATAGCCGGATCGTCCCGTCCGTTAGCAAATTTCCAATGGACGGCCTTTATTCTCCTTTTCAATGCTGAGCCCAGCATATAAGAAGTTCTGTGCAATAGATAGGACAAAGTGACCTCAGTGTTGAACAGGGGGTTGTAGGCAAAGGTCGACGCGTACGTCTTAACAGGTAGAAAGTAACTTTATTTAATCGGCCTAAATTGTAACCTTATATTCTAAAAAATAGGTCGGTATAGGTAGTGTCGTTCTCGAGGGCTCGAAACCTGAAGTAATTGGTAGGACGAGGCGAAGATTTTGGTCGACAGAACTTGTGAATCAGTTCAAAGTAAACACTACCGAGTATCTCCACAAACTCTGTTCCAAAGTCTGTGTAGGTATGCCATTTAGGCTTAGAAAAATTTAAAAGCAGAGGCCCATCGAAACCAAGCAAATGAGCCGATGCCTATTCCGCGTAGACCGATGAGTTCTTCGAGTTGGACGGAATTGTGAGTTCAGGAACCTGACCTCGCCCGGACAAAGGAAGATATCTGATTCAGGAGGAAGCACCGTCGCCCACCATCCGTGCCCAGCTGACTGGCTTTCGCCCAATTCCTACATTCCGTACTGGGGGACGGTTGTTAATTATTACAATTATCAAGTTAATTACTTCTTCCTCGTAATAGCATTTTGTTATGTCCATCATGTAGTGAGCATTGTCCTCCAGCGAATCTACCCTCATTTGAACTATGATGATGTTGATCGCAACAACTATTTACCTTAATTTCACAGTAATAGCGGTTTCTGTATATATAACTGAGGAAAACCATGTCGGCTAAAAACAAACACTCCTCAGACGATGTCTCTTTCTAGGTGAAAAGCTATACTTTGATGTGAAAGCATTTTAACAAAAAGATTTTACTGCCTGTGTAAGAAGTCCATGAACACCTGCAAATTTATCTGTAACAGGTAAGTATATACCATAATTTAAATGAGAAACAGAACTTGTGAATCAGCTCAAAGTAAACACTACTGGGTATCTCCACAAACTCTGTTCCAAAGTCTGGGTAGGTATGCCATTTAGGCTTCGAAAAATTTATAAGCAGAGACCCATTGAAACCAAGCAAAGGAGCCGGTGCCTATTCCGCGGTTTTAAAAAAGTTTCTAATTGTGAGATTTTTAATACCGTTAAATGGCCGTTCATGAAACGTCAAGTATCTGCATTTACGAATGTGGCTTGTAAAGTTAAAAATATTGCTCAAATCCACTGCTTAGTTTTATGAACCTCATATGGTCTCCTCTTAACACCGTAGAGAAATACATGGCTTTCCGTACACGGAAAATATACAGCTTGTAATTTTGAAACTCTGAATGCAAGTGTAACAGCAGGTCGGGTTCAAAATTACTCGGGAATCAGAAAAGTTCTTTAAAACCGGATTATACTCTTCTTTTGAGTATGAAATTGAAGGAAGACGTGATTTTCTACCGAATAATTAGGAGAATGAATATTTTTATACATATTTTCCATGAAATATAATTGAATTTTCAAGGGTATCGAAAATCAATGGGAAAATTGCATACTACTTAAGTAGTCATTTTTGTAGAGTATAGATCTTGCATGCAGCCGAAAATAAGTTCTTTCGAAAGCCGACACCCTGAGGTAACTGGATCATTATAGATTTATGCTGCATCATGATTGGTTTTACAACACTACCTAATTTATCTTTTCGAAACGAGAACGCATTTCGAAATTTTGGTTGACATTTCATGAGTTAGGACATCTACTGTATATACTATAATTTAAATGAGAAACAGATCAAGTAGACATTCTATTGCATGATGTGGCTGTGTTCAATCGTCGTTTTTTTAACAGGTAAAATGATCGGGCTGGAAGACATCTCCGAGTTAATTAAGCCCTATTCCGAAAGCACTCCGCCGACGCGTCCACTGAGACTCAGCTCATAAAACACCCCCTCAGCTTCCCGGCTTAGGGTGTCGTCCCCCTTTGGAAGAATGGGAAGAAGATCACGACGCGGTTTCATGCTGGTCTCCTAGTCAAAAAGTGTTCTTATTTGCATGACTACCCGGACGACTTTCAGACTCCACTTATTGTGGGAAAACACTTCTCAATTGCCCACTCTCCCCCCATCTCAACCCCCGCTGGGTGGCGACCAATACAAATTATCGTTCATCGGTATCCATCTGAAAGTCATCCTCACCGTTGCTTCATCTCCTCCGCTGTGTCCACAACGTGGCCGGGGGGGGGGATGCGGGAATGGTTGGTATCGTGGTCGGTTACCAGGGTCGGTTAAGGAACCCCACCACTATGGTCCCTGGGGTGCACTTCAGGTTGAGACGTCCGAACTGGCCAACAGCGGGCGGTGCCACGACAGTCGACCGTCTCAAGCGACCAGCTTGACCGCGTGTCCCACGCAGCGTCAGTGACTTGCGTATAAATGAGTATACTGAGAGGCAGACTTGCACAGTATCTACTGCTCTC